AAGGCATTTGACAAAATAAGCCACAGTGTAATAGTTAAAGCCTTATCTGATATGGATGTACCTAATTTTTTGATTAACTTAATTCAGTCTTACACTTAGTAAAAAGGTACCAATATGTTGAGGTTAAGGGATACAAATCTGAAATCTATATTGGTACCTTAGGAGTACCTAAAGGCTCTGATTTAGGGCCTCTTCTTCTCATAATTACAATAAATAAAATTGTTGGGAGTGTTGAAAATTCTTTAGCCTTATTATTTGCTGACGATTTTAAACTGTTTTTGGAAATTATAACCAGTGAAGATTGCGATCTGTTTCAGGATGACTTTACCGATATTGTTAACTATTGTAGTGATAATAGTTTTAAACTGCATAAAGATAAATGTACTTGTATATCAATTTCTTTAAACCAAAACACCATTGAGTATGATTATACTCTCAATGGAACCAGCCTTAAGAGTTCACGAACAGAAAGATTTAGGAATAATATTTAATTCAGGTCTCTCTTTTTCTGACCATATTATTGCAAAAGTAGAAACTGCTCCAAAAGTGTCAAGTCTAATCATTAAAAATACGAAGAACTTGAATATTGGTGTTAGCTTACATTTATTTGACAGTTTAGTTTTACCTTTACCTTTTAGAGTATGGCGCCATAATATGGTCTCCTCAATATAGCTTTTGGATTAACATTATCGAGGAGGGTCAGAGAAAATTTTTAAAGGCTATGTACTTCATAAAATTTGGCACATATCCCCAAAGAGGCTACGACAATGATTATCTTCTGGGCTTGTTTAACAGGCTCTCGTTAAGTAAGAGAAGGATTAAAATATTTTTATGTACAATGTACAGAATCCTCAAAGGTGATATTGACTGTCCAGATATTTTAAATCAATTACCATTTGCAATTAATCGCCTAAATTCGAGAAATACTAGAATGTTTTATCTTACACTTCCCAGAACAAACCTGTACAAAAGCTCGCCAATCTATCAGTTATGTAACTTGTTTAATTTATATGTATCGGATATTGATATTGACTGTATTAACATAAAAACTTTTAAAAAGCTTATAGACAATAAATTAAGGTCAAACACTTTAGGGTTTTAATTTTGAATACGCGGAAGTTAGTTCTTTTTGCCATTCTAATAATTATTATTAGCTTTATTTATGACTGTATCTATGAATGTACAGGGTGCTGCAATTTGGAATGTTTTAGCAGGAAAAACACACTTCCAGAACAGATAGAAGAAAATTGACTTAGATGTCATGGGATCGATTTTCGAGAAACGTCGATTGTCAAAAACCGTATCGCGATATCTTCAATGGTACCATTAATACAGAGCGATTTTCGATTTTCCCCTATTATGAAAAATGGCTATAAGTTTTTTATTTATCAATTTTTTTCATTTTTGTAAAAACATTATGGAAAAATTTTTTTGAGCACAATCCAGTGGCGGACTCGGTTTTTTTCTATATCGCTCCGATTTCGAGATATCGACCAAATTCCGATATTTTCAAATGAAACATCCTTTATATTAATAGCTCATTGGATAGCTCTGTTTTTGCTGATTTCAATGATATAAAGTTCGATAGGTTTATCTCTAACAGTTTTCCAGATTTTTTTTTTAATCTGTTTCAGTCATAAGAAACAATGTGTTAGAAAGAGACCTTTCTCACTTTCCTTACACATATAAAATCCTTTTCTAACACATTGGTCCTTAGGACAAAAACAGATATAATTATTTTTCTCGAAAACTATTAGAGATAAACCTATCGAACTGTATATCATTAAAATCAGCAAAAACAGAGCTATCCAATGAGCTATAAATATATAGGGAGTTTCATTTGAAAATATCGGAATTTGGTCGATATCGCGAAATCGGAGCGATATCGAAAAAAATCGAGCCCGCCACTGGATTGTGCTCAAAAAAGTGTCTCCATAATGTTTTTACAGAAATGAAAAAAATTGATAAATAAAAAACTTATAGCCATTTTTCATAATAGGGGAAAATCGAAAATCGCCCTGTATTAATGGTACCATTGAAGATATCGCGATACGGTTTTTGACAATTGACGTTTCTCGAAAATCGATCCCATGAAATCTAAGTCAATTTTCCTCTATCTGGTCTGGAAGTACGTTTTTCCTGTTGAAACACTCCAAATTGCAGCACCCTGTACAATGTAAGTTTTTACTATAGTTTATTCTGTTTATATTTGTATTTTAACTGTATCTGTAATTGGCCACTGGCTGTTGATACTGGACTAATAAATAAATAAAGAAATAAATAAATAAATAAAGAAATAAATAAATAAATCGAAATCAAACCATTCACCTATACATGGTGTCCCACGACGTTTTTTCCAAGTAATACCTTCGGAACGCGTCATACAATATAATTGAAATTGAGCATCTGGATAAGTTTTTGTGCCGCTTCTACCATTGTCATCCAATTTAACCAGTTTCGCCTACAATTTCAGTCAAGTGACGTCAATTTTCGAATCTTAAATGTGAAATCGACAATGCCATATTTGTTAAGGCTTTGTTAAAGAAAATAATACAGTGGAACATACGATGGATCCGTTCCGAAGTTATCATCTGAGAAAATCCTCGTGGGACACCCTGTATAATATTAATGTTAGAATTTTTTTTGGAAAAATGGCGAATGCGCTGTCTATACCAATAGTCTAAGGGTCTAAGTTTGGAGAGAGTGACCCTTTTTTGGTGCTACGCAGGGCCGCAACTAGGGGGTGGCGAACTAGGCGCCTGCCTAGGGCGCCGGAGTATCGGGGCGCCGAAGGCGCCTAATTAAATCCATCAATATTTTACAATCCAAAAAAATGCAACGATTTTACGCGTCATTTGTCGTAGCATGGAAATTTATTTTGCTTGTGTTACATCTCTCTTTGTCAACCATCAACAATACGAATATCGATAGTAATCCAATGGAATAGTAATCATATAAATAATGTCAAACACTGTGTGCTTTTACTTTTACAATAGTTTCGTTCGCGGTAAGGATTCTGAACTGGTTCAAAACTATTTCGCATGCGCAGCAACCAGAATCGGTTCGGAACCGTTTCTGAACCAGTTCTAGCGGTCCTAGGATTTTAGCAAGAACTTCAGGATTGACACAGAACGTAGCGTTCGTTTATGTATTAGGGCGAGTCCCCACTGGCGTAATTGACGTAAGCATAACTGATCACGTGATTTAATTTGTACGATTTCATTGGGGGCAGTGCAGCCATCTTGAATTTTTGACATTTCGCTGCCGCTACGGCAAAAAGTTGGGTTTTGTTGAACTTTTCGGCGTAATCGTGGCGAAGTTGTGACGTTTGTGTTTGTTTTTTCTGATATAGGATAGAAAAATCACAGAAAACCAAAGGAAAAGAACTACAATAACGAATTAAAAAATTTTAATTACGACCAGACAAAAAATTAACAAGATATTTGGGTTAGAAAATGTTTTTGTTTTGGTTTTGATGCACTAAATTTGGGATGAAATGCCAAAATTGGCGTAGAATTGACGTTCATGGCGATTGTGCTAATAGACCTGTCTCGCATAAATAGAGAAAGAAAGCCTAATTGTAATAAATACAAGTTAGAAAGTAATAAAAGATGACATGCGCGCGCAACTCGTAGGTTCAGTGTAGCCAGATTGTATTATTGCAGAACAAATAAAGACAATACAAATCGAACATTATAACATTAAAGAAGTGATATAGTGTCAAGTGTTTTACAACGCCTTGAATCAGACAAAAGAAGCGCTTGAAAAGTTTATGTTAACATCGTTTACACTTTTATTTTGATAAATGTTTCATCCGGCAACATTGCACAATGAAATTGCAAAGGAATATGTCAAGTATAATCTGACAAAACCTTGAACGACACTGCGGTGAGTTCAAGTAATATATAAAGTATTAGTTTGCTCTCCGTCACTTTCTTTTACATGCTAGTAGTAAAGGACAAGAAAGAATACACTTAGGTCGCACTGAATTTACTAATGAATTTCATTATAAAAATCGCTCTTACCTTTATAAGGCCCAATAACAGGAACTTCATAATGTAGCAACCCTATACGTAATTTGACATTTCAAAGTAGGCCTTGTAATCTTTTGACAATTAATTCAAAATGGTTGGTTTGTATTCAAGGCCTACTTGGTTTGATTTTACAGTTATCTGTATTACCGACATCGGTTAAAATCAGTGTAGTTTTCAAGGCCTACTACGTTATTTATTTTGTTGCTTGTCAATAATTTGATGTTTAACATTTTGTCGATGTTTAAAAAATAGTCGCTATGGAAAATTTAAAATTTACAAGGCCTACTTGGGCTATGTTTTTTTTTCTAAATCTTTAAGCCTCATCAGTAATTGAAACAATGATTGTTGTAAGTTGAAGTTGACAGCACTGTTCGATAACTGACAAAGTAAGCTTTGGAAAATTTGATACTCTGTAATACCGATATCGCAATACATATACATTTTCAAGGCCTACTTGGTTTGATAAATCTTTCGCTTACAGTTGTTGAGGCTTTCATATAACTCCGGCCCTTCGGGCCGGACTCGCATATAACTCCGGCCCTTCGGGCCGGACTCGCGAACCTGTACCAAACTTGCTTCTCATTACACGCTCACCTGCAGCCTACAAGCGACGCGCGCAGTCCAGGGCTGCGTTCAGGAATGGCTATGGCCAAGCCAAAATTGGCATTTTGCGTTCGAGTTCGGCTCCGACCTACGTGGTTCGGCATTACCTGTGGAGGGGGAAAAGTAGGTTTTGGCATTAGCATTGCCGTCTTTGAACGCACCCTAGGTTATAGGAGATCGGTCTATTACGCCAGTGGGGATTAGACAGTCTGGAGAAGTCGTTTCAAAACTGTTCGCGATAAAATAATGGCGTTTTCCATTTGTTGCACGGAGGTGCACTCAGTGCAATTTTAACATTCCATTTGACTGCACATTTCCAATTGAAATTTAGTGCAATTATGTATGCACTTCGAGGTAAGGACGATGAATACTAACCAAAGTAGCAACCAATCCGCAACGATCGCGGTACAGCAGGGATTCGGCAGTAAACTGCTGACGCTCAGCAAGATTAAAATAGGCTGGTCAACCTGCAGAGTTAAACTTAGGGTTCAGCTAACACGCTGTTATAGGTGCCTTGAATACGGCCATTGGACCGCAGACTGCAAAGGGCCGGATAGATCCAGGTGCTGCATGAACTGCGGCAGCATTGGACATCAAGCTAAGCAATGCTCTGTAGAACCACAATGCTTCAGTTGTAACGAAACAGGACACAGAATGGACAATGCAGGCTGCCCAAAGTACCGTGAACTCCTTGAACAACACAGGAAAAAGCTAACGGAGATCAACAAACCAAATGGACAGTAGACCCTCAACCTCTAGAACCCTCCCGGCGAGCAAGGGAAATCTGACCAGGCCCAGTACTAAACCCCCCGCCATCAAATGTATCCAAATTAACATGAATAGATGCGGCGTAGCCCACGACCTCTTGACCGCAACTGCAGACCAACTAGACGCGGATATAATAATTATCTCAGAACCAAACCATAAAGCGGTCAAACACACATCCTGGCAGGTGGATATGAAAACGGACGCCGCCCTGAAACTAAGAAACAGAAATATCGCATGCCTGCGCTCGGGATCGGGCAACGGCTACGCGTGGACGGAACTTCGGGACTTAATGGTCATAAGCTGCTACCTGGCACCGAGTATTAGCCCGGAAAATTTCAGTGCAACCCTGGAGGACCTGGGCGCCCTCCTTCATACAACCCAAAAGGACATCATCATCGCCGGCGTCTTTAACGCATGGGGCATGCGTACTACTAACAGAAAAGGAAACATCTTGCTAGAATCGATGGCTGCAAATAACCTGACAATCCAAAACAACGGTAACGAACCAACATTCGCCCGAGAAGGAGCCAGCTCAATAGTTGACCTAACGATGACAAGGGGCAAGATAAGTGCCTTGCTAAAAAACTGGAGGGTGCTGGACAAAGAAACACTAAGTGACCATAAATATATTTATTACGAAATAGAAGGCAAGAACAGCGTGATGAAAAGCAGCCCACCCAAATAGAGATGGAACCAGAAAAAAACTCAACCTGACGCACTTCAACGAAGCACTCATCACTGCAGCACAGAACCCCCCCCCCCCCCCCCACAGACGGTCAAACAGCTAAACGAGACCATCACGAAAGTTTGTAATGCCTCAATGCCAAAAAGAAACATGAACCTAAACCAAAGAAAACCGGTATACTGGTGGACGGATGAAATTGCCAACCTTAGGAAAACCTGCCTGGCACAAAAAAGAAGATTAACCAGAAACAACCGCAGGGACTCCACAAGATCACCGACAGACAGACAAACATACACTACGCACAGAAAGAAGCTAAAGATCGCCATCAACAAATCCAAAAGAAACTGCTGGAGGAAACTTTGCGAGGAGATAAACAGCGACTGCTGGGGGAACGGATACCGGATTCCGACTAGAAGGTTGAAAATAACTAGCGAAGATAGGGCCTTAACACTCCCAAAATCACTGGAGGTTGCCGAGAGCCTGTTTCCAACTCGTCCATTGACTGACTGGGAAAAAGCGGAACATAGGGATCCAGACATTCCACAAATAACTGCAGGGGAAATAGCAGAGGCAAGCCACAGACTGAAACCAAACAAAGCTCCCAGGCCAGATGGCATCCCGGCTGACATCTGGAAACTAATCACGGGCGAAACACCAGAACTCCTCCTCGGAATTTTTAACAACTTTATTAATAATGGCAAATTCCCCCGTGCATGGAAAGTGGCGAAACTAGTACTAATAGAGAAACCCAAGAAAAAGCCTGACGACCCCCCGAAATACCGCCCTCTATGCCTCCTAAACTCGGGGGGAAAACTCCTAGAACACATAATCTTAGCGAGACTCAACGAAGACCTAAACCTGCAAACGACCCTCAGCGAAAGACAGTATGGCTTTAGGAAGGGCAAATCCACCTCTATGGCAATACAAAAGGCCTTAGATACAATAAAGCCCTCACTATACAAAAAAAGCCACAGGCACAGATGCATCGGTGCTGTAGTCACCATTGACATAAAAAACGCCTTTAACTCGGCCTCCTGGCAGGTCATCATCAACGAACTAAAAAAAAAGAGGCGTAGCTCCGTACATATTGAACCTCATGCAAGACTACTTCACTGACAGAACAATACTCCTCGAAGCAGAAGGAGAAACTGCAACCTTCAACATGTCGCCCGGTGTTCCCCAGGGCTCGGTACTGGGCCCCACAGACGTCTTGCTAATCGGCTACGCGGACGACATCGCCATAACCGTCACAGCCAAAGATATCGACGAACTAGAAAGAAAAATAGAGAGCTCAATGACAAGAATCAGGAAATAGCTACAAGAAAACCTCCTCGAACTAGCCAACGAAAAAACCGAAGTGATTATTCTAACCTCAAAGAGAATTATCCCCCACAGAGACCTGAGAATCATGGGAAACACGATAACGCCAAAGCAGGAAATCAAATACCTGGGAGTCTGGCTCAACAGCAAGCTATCTTTTGCCTGCCACATACTGAACGCCTCGACGAGAGCACGTAATGCCATGACGGCTCTTGCCCGCCTAATGCCTAACGTGGGTGGTCCGGCCCCCAACAAGCGAAGGTTGCTATGCTCAGTGGCAAGATCGATACTCTTGTATGCTGCCCCAATATGGGGCCACATAATGAACATGCAACATCTTCTCAAGGATTCAGAGGCAAGCGGCGCTGCGCAGCACCGCATCTACGGACGTCATCCTCGTTATCGCGGAAACTCCACCAATGGATCTTCTGTCAACGCAGGCCATGAACGTAGCTAGGGCAACAGAACCTCAAAGGGAGCAAATGGCAAGAAAGATGGGAACAGAGCACAAATGGCAGGTGGACGTTCAGACTAATACCCAACATATCGATATGGACCAACAGAAAACACGGGGAAACAGACTACGCGCATTTCTTGACACGAGCTAGGAAAGCTCGTGGAGAGCCAGTGCAGTTTGTTTTGTTTTTGTTCACTGTTCACATGTACAGTTGCGATCAAAAAAAAGTAGTACAAGAAAAATCTCCAAAATCTCCTGGTCTATTATACAGTAATTTAATTCATAAGCAAAAATGACATATTTTGAAATGTTTATTTACTGTCAAAATTTGTATGTTACACCAGGGGGGGTTTATTTGAAATGTGCAATTCAAATTCGTCTGACAAAGTCGCATTTTTTAGCATTGAAATACCGGCAAAAATTGCGACTTAGTCAGACGTATTTGAATTGCACGTTTCAAATAAACCCCCCCAGGAGCTCAAATTGGGGTGTATAATTTTTGTACTACTTTTTTTTGATCGCAACTGTACCTACCTACCGTACATGAAAATTTGAAAAATTTCTGATAATATTTGCAAAGAAAAAGCTGTTGCTCTCTTGGATTTATTATGTAGCATCAGTGAAGATGAATCCGATAATTATATTATTTGAATGAGTTCTACAGCTTACAGTATTGAAAAAATTTCAAGCAAAAACCAAAGCATCAAAATAGTTATTTTCCTAACAAGTGCGCAAAGTGTTACTTTTCCGCACGCAAACACAGTTATACGAACGACGCGAAGCGGAGTTCGGATAAGTGTTTGCGTGCGGAAAAGACACTTTGCGCACGTGTTAGGAACAAAATTTTTCCTACGAGCTTCATATCAGGTAGGTAACAACAAAAATATTTTTAAAAAAAACGATAATTTGTTCAATTGTTTTCAATTAACTTGAAGCGAACCTATTCATTCATCAAAAAATTACATAACAAAAAAAACAGAAAATTGAAATCCTCGTCAGAGCTGTTTATCTTAAAGTGTTTAAATTTGATGCGAAAGAAGTTTGTAGATTCTTGCATGTAAATGGAGAACACAAATCTGACAATGTGTCAAAGTTAATTATATTCAGTGTTTGTATAGATGTTGGCTGATATAGAAACAGAGGAAAAATTTGTCATCATGTGTCAAAGTCGACAGGTGCACTTATTGTTGTTTGACAATTATTTTTACTTTTCGGCACTCAGTGCGGATAAGGCCCGTATCCGCACTGAGTGCGGAAAAGTGTAACTTTGAGAATCGTAATGCGTGCGGAAAAGTACTACTTTGCGCACGCTCGTAGGAAAAATATATATCTATTGTTACTTTTGAGAAAGCGGTGGAGGGGCGTCAAAATTTGGCCTTGCCTTGGGCGCCGAGGGTTCTAGTTGCGGCCCTGGTGCTACGTAATATGTAAGGCTGAACTCGAATTATTACCTAACCATAATTGCCTTCCTCTCACACTCTGGTTGTAGGAAATTACATTTTCCAACACTTTAGATACAATAAAAATTTTCAATTATTATAACCTATTTAGTAGGAGTATAGCTCTCTATATAACAGAGAAAATCTATACATCATACCTATTAAAGGTATGTGTTCGTTTCACCAGGGTTCATACTTGACCTTGAAACTTGACAAAAAAGGGTTGTCGTAGATTAATTCATATGACACATTCAATTTTTTTGAAAAATTAAAATGAATGACGTCTGGTTTAAGAACCGACGAACGTTTTTGACGTCATTGATTTGTTTCAGTCAATTCAGTTTTTATCTTATTTCGTGGTTGAAACTTTATAACTCACCTTATACATGAATACAAAATGCAGATTGTATTATGTACCTAATTTGCGTAGGTATACTCTATGTAATTCAGATGTAGGGGAGTAGAGGGAGGCAGACTTTTCACTAAGAAAAATTTTAGGAAGTTTGAATTGTTAGGCAATCAAACGGACTATACAGTGAGGGGCAAGCTACTAGGTATATAGGATGTAACCTGACGAATTTGCAGGCGTCCGCATTTCAGAAAATGACAAATCGATTTAGCGCTAACCTGGCGACAACCAAGTAAAAAGTTTCTAGGGTTGTTAATAATTTTCAAAAATACGGTTGTGTTTCTCCCTGAAACCAAACGAAATGACGTCCCGGAAAATAATGAGGATCAAGAAGCCAAATAAATTATGTTGTTGGTTGTTGGCAATAGTTAACAAAACTTCAACTATTTCGACTCGTGCGCTTGCGCAGGATATTGACTCGAGTACAAGGACGGTTAGGAGCCACAGAAAAAAAAAAGTATCGTTCGTAGAAAGTAAGAAACTCCCAAAAAATTGATCCTGAGGACAACATCAGGCGAATGGATTTTTGTGAAACTGTCATTAATAAGGCAAATGAAAATCAAGATTTTCTTAGAAAAATTGTCTTTACAGATGAGTCGACATTTCAACTCCATGGTCGACATAATCCTAGTCACACCCGTTATTGGTCTAAGGAGAATTTACACA